TTCTTAATGAAGCAATTAAACTGGTCTCAGGATAGTGCTGTGTACGAAACCAAATTATCCTGGGTTTCTAGAATGCTGGAAAGAAATTTCAAGAGTACCATTTGTTGTGATAACAACTGATGTTTACAATGAGATGGCTCCATGCTGCTCGTTGAAACAACAGAGGCACCAAGTACTTTCAAAGGGAGCTTTTCTGGAGACTGAATTCAGGTTGTGGGTACATGAAAATTGGGTCAAACCAGATTTGCAGCTGATACAAACCTAGACAAAGAAACCTATCACATCTAAACTCAAGTCAAACCAATTCAGAGACTTGTGAATGATAGAGCTAGGTCAACTCAACTACACACACAACCAGTAAAGGCCATTCCCACATAGGACCTCTTCATGTATCTTTATACATAAAAGTCCACCCTGTTTAGACCAACCTTATATGACACCGATATAATGACAGGCTATCGAGCTACATACCGAACACCACAGACGCTAACAAGGAGATTCATTTGGTGTGTCTATTAAAAACTGCACCATTCAGTACTTTATGGTTGCATGACACAGAATGGCAGGAATGGCTGATGCTAAGAGCATGCACATGCAGAAGGCTAGCCTTTCCTTCTAGTGTTACAGAGGAGTGTGGTGGAATCATAACCTCACATCTGGTGGGGGTTCCCATATGTTACTGCAGGGGGTGGAGGGTCTGTCCAGGTGTAAAACTGAATTTCCAACAGCTGAATATCTGGTCATGCGGCAAAGAATAATGTAGTTCTGCTGTTTGATTGAACCAGCTGTATCTGTTTTCACATTTTTCAAGTGTACCTGACTCTTGCCCACCTTGCCATGTCCCCAAGTATGAATATGCCCCCCAAAACACTTTCTGGACAGATATCAGAAACACAATTAACTTGCAGCTACAGAGCTTTAAAATAATTCCTAGATGTCAAAGCAAATCTGCCAGCCTAATTCGACTGTCTTGGTTCTGTATTAAAGTACAAACACTTGAGTGCACTCTAGACTTGTAATATCAGGTGGAAAACATTTGCTCTATCAAGTGGACTCGTAAAATCTACATACAACATGCATCACATTAGTCTAACCGTCTGTGGATGGATTAGAATTATGGGGTTGTAGTAAAATAGACGTTAACAACTATGAATGAAAGACTGTGTGCAAAAGCAATGACAAATTTGAGAGGGATGGAAAAATGCACAAGCTGTTGAGACCCAAAAACAAATTTATACCGATAGTTTACCAAGTAAATCCCTACACGAATTGCGAAGGCTGCTACTGGTAGAAAAACGTGACCAATAACTCTGTAACAACGTTGTCAGCACCAGCTGAAAGGTCAGATGTCAGGAGCAGATTGAGAAGTTATTACGGTGACCTGACCTTTTCTGTGTTTCTTCTCTTCCTGTGGACACGGAAATGGAAACTACATACATGCACTAGGAGCCAGGGTACTCCATAGTTAAATGCCCATTCACATTTACTGGTAACAAAATTGCTCGAAATACTCAAAAATAAATAAAATGCTCAGAAGCAAGTAAGTCTGGATTTGTTATAATTGCTACTTGACCATTTAAGAGTGCTAAAATATAAAAATATCAAAAATTCAAACAACAATAAACAATCTCAACAGACTGAAACGACAAGATATACAGTAACAGTTATCAGCTGTTTTATACATACACCTTCTGTAAACCCTACTGGAAATGCCTCTTCACTCCACATTGGTACACAAACCTCAGGAGTTGATGGTAAATGTGTATATTTTCACAAGACCAGAAGTGGGGACAACCACTACCAAGAGGTTGGACCTTGAACACATGTGTTTTCCCTCAAGATCATCCAGCATCACCAACTCCAATGGTTCTCAAGCAGCCCTGTATGTTGCTCTTGGACACAGTTAGATATTGAAGCCAGATGCTGGAATTTAAAGGGACCCTGTCATGGACACTTTGGGATCTCTACCATGTGAAAGGTAGTGTACTGTTATCAAGTCAGACAGTAATCACCACTTGACTGGGCACCAGGGCCCCAAACCCCCCACATCAAAGATTATAATGACAAGTATGTCCCTCAAAAGTTCCATTCACATTCAGTAAAGGGAAGAGAGCAGGCTCCAACTGGAAGAGATCTTCGAAGCTTCCTACCTAGCCAAAGAGATCTACTCTACTCTACTCGACACAAATGCTCAACCTAGTAGGTAGATCTGAAACTCACACCAAAGTTATATTCTAGTTGACGTAAAGCTATTAAAACTGAGGACATTTACTGGAATCTTGTACTGGAGTAACCGGACAATATCATAATTCATAGTTCTGATCTACAAAGTGCAATTCTAAATGCCGACTAAAATTGCTTTGAAAAGAAGTCTGCAACAGCAGAAAGCATGTCAAGAATGTCTGTTATTCACTAGAAATTTTTCAGCATCCCAGACATTGCTTTCATATTGTTTACAGCATATTTTCAGGCGGTCTTTTTTCATACACCTCATTTACAATATCACATCTTCATGACAACTTTCAATACAACTTTGAACGTGATAGCACATCAGAATGCCTTCTCCACACCTGTGCACCTGTGGATCCAAGTTAACACACCACAATTCAACTGCTCTGCTATAGGCTGGCCTAGTACAGTCAAACCTGTATCCAACAACCACTCAAGGGACCAAGGAAAAATGGTTGTTGACTGGGAGTGGTTGGATGGTCCAGTTGGGGGGGGGGGGGGTGCTGGTTGGTATCTTTGTGTTGGCAGGGTAGGCTAATTTACACATCTTACTTACAAATAATAAGCAAAAAAGAAAATACAGAGTACAATTTAATAGTGAGATTTTATTGAGATCACACACATATGACTTTGAAGTCAAAGTTATTACACAATTTCTCAGTTCAGTCTTCTAAATTTACAATCATGTGACTGATGCTAATTATACTTCATATCGTAGAATTTGAGGCAAAAAGTGGAAAATAGCAGCAAGAAGTATGACTATACATCATGTGTACTTGGCTATGATATCTCTAGTCACTACTAAGTACTGTTCGATTATGTTTTTAATATCAATTGATACAACTGTTCTATTACGAAACTGGGTTCGAAATTTAATTTTACAAGTCCCTAAATATTGCAACGAAAATAAGAAAGTGAAACGTTCTGCCTTTGAGTCTTTTTCCCTTTCTGCTGAAGAAGTCCTCCATTGTTTTGGCCAAGGACATACCGACGCCGCGTTGATATTTTCTTGCCACCATTACAAGTTCTGAGTCGGAAACTTTTGCAGACTACTCAATACTGGCGCAACATTACAGCAGTCAACTTAATGTGACTTCAAAAATTCCTAAAAGGTTATTTTGGGCTAAGAAATTTGACGGAAAACTTCGTTCGCGATCACAAAATGGAGAACAAAGATGGCGCTGGCTTGGAAAACAACAACAACCAATCCACTGTGAAGGGGAACAATGAACATGCAGCAAAAAATACATAACGAAATTTTAAGTTTATAAAGGCATTTGTAAGCATTTATAACTCTAGATAGGTATAAAATGTAGTTAATTCATATTTGATTTGCGTGCGCTGACCGCACGTGTCAAAAATAAATTGAGTAAAAGTATTCAGCAACCCTTTAGAAATGGAACCTTCCGATGACCCGCGGGGTGACCCAAGCGCGGCCGCCATCTTGAAACCAGAAACAGAAACGACAAAAAAACACTTCTAAGCAAAAAAAAACGCTGCTTTTCATGGAATTCCACGACCATACAACGAATTCAAAGAATATTTGGGGGAAAATGTCGGTGTGCATGTGATTTTATGGTGTGTTTGACGCGATTTGGGTCTTCAATCCGCCGGAACTAGGCACCGGCAGTGTGTCGAGATCAGCGTGGTTTTCGCCGTCAAAACAAGAAACAAAACGCCCGCTAAATAAAACCCAGGATAACATTTTATATCCCAGCGATTGTGTTTTCTATAAAAAATATTTGTGGATATGCACAATATTCCCATGTTTTAACCGTATGCTTTCTCAAATTACAATGTGTTATTCTTGTCGCAAGCGCGGTAACGTTACTTGTGTGTGCAGATGGCGTGAGAACAGGGCCCGCTAGATTTTTCGTCGGTCGGTGCACAGCATGATCTAATCTCGATTTGTTTTCGAAATTATATTAGCAAAACTATAATTAATACTTCTTAACACCCCTTTGAATTTTTTTTACAATTATCAGTTTCTTTTATTGAAGCATAATATTACTCTGGTCGTGTCGTTCCAAACTCCACATGTGCGTTGTGCCGACGCACCAAGATCTAGATCGCTTGCCCTTATGCCATCAAGTGGTTGTTGACTAGGGTGTCCGTGCCCCGTAGGGACCACAAGAAAGTGGCCGCTGGTTGCGTTGTACAGTTGGTTGCCTGGAAGGGGGTCCTTACAATGTAAAATAGGACGGGACTGTTTGAATGTGGTTGTTGATAACAGTTGGTTGTCCTAAACAGTTGGTTGGACGGACAGGTTTGACTGTAGAACAACATAGCATGTATTCCATAAGCTACAAGCTTCCTCACCATACGTTTACAGAAATTACAGACTTGGGTGTTAGTTTGCTAACATTTCTTGGTAACACCCTGTCACTGGCTGCTCTCTTGCTAAAACTGTAAAACCAGTCACCACATTTGCATTGCTTGGCACTACCCAACTCGGAGATCCTGCAGCACTTTACCAAGCTACAATCCATCCTTTCCACAGGAAGATCAAAGAGGCTCTGGCCAGTAAAGGGACAGGAACAGGCAGACCATTTGTTCCTCCATTAGTAACGGGGTCAGAGGGCGTCCCTTCCATTGTGTCCTTCATGGACTGCAGCTCATTGCTGATTTTGTGCCCCTGAATAGGAACATGTGTTGGGAAAATGCTTCCTTTGGGTGCCTAACAATAGCCATTCGCCTGGAAGTAACAAGACAGGGCAGTGGATAAATAAGGACTCTCCGCGTCCTTCCAAGGACGAGTTGTTGGTACTTACAGGTTCCTCAGATTGGAGACGGGCATCTCGGTAAACACGCCTTCCTTCAAGACGGCAATGTCGTTCCCTTGTAAGTTCCTGTACGAAGGACAAACAAAACAGATGAGTTAACTTCCCCATGCAACGTGTGTGTAATACACTGTATATTGAGTCTTACATTTAATTCTAAAGGGAAAGCTACCTTAATCTGTTATCTTCAGACTTTGTACTGTGGAAGGTTTAAAGAGAGGGCGAGATTATAAATACAGGCGATCCTGATTGGTTGAAGGCAAAACTGTGCGGTTGATTCAAACTGGAAGGTACGGCCTTCCGTGTAGCTCCCGGTTTATCGGCAATATCTTATTACTGAGCGCATGCTTTGGCCCAGTTTTTGGTATATCGATGTCTGAAGTGTCCCTCGTCACGTTTTGGCCACTGTCATTGCCAGTAATGCCCTCAGTGACTTATAATATGTGTTTTCTGTACATTACAACACTCTTACCGGCGAAATTTAAAAATCCTAATTACTTGCAGGCGCTGCCAGAGATCGCTACTCTGGCTGAAGTAGCCCCGCTGTGATTGTAAACATTCTGCCAGCGCGAGCGAGCCGGCCGGGTGAGCCACGGCTGTATCATGTTTCGCAGCCTGCTCCCGGTCGCTTCTGCCAGTTCTGGCCAGGATTTTCACAGGCCAGGCCTGGGCTAGACCAGGTCTTGCAATGAACAGAGAAGAAAAATACAAGGAAATCAGAGACTTGTGCTCGTGTTTACTTTTTCAAAATGATGGCGTCGAAATAACACGTGCGTATATCCGAACTGTTTGAGTCTGAGTTCTAACAGAGTTATATTTTGATACAAAGTACGTTAGTCACCACCACTCACATCAGTAATAATATACAATATATATGTACATATACATATAAAACAAGGAGAGGGAAAGAGAGAGCAAAGATACTGTTTTGTTTACACGAACCTTACATCCAATCGTCCGGAGTTACAGGTTTGGCACACTTTCAACATCAGTCAACAGTCCGCGACGTCTATAATATTTACAGAAAAGGCAAGTAATGCCTGGCCAAAGTGGACTAGTTATAAATGTTTGCAGGCAATGGTAAAGAACAACGCCCGTTCTGTGTCAGTTTTATATGATACAATCCAATCTCGTTGTCCGTGTCCATGCGTTTGTCCTCGAGTCCTGTCTTCACAAATTATCTTACTTTCTTAGCTCCACTTGTGTCCCATGTACGGCACGCCTCTTGGGTTTGGATAGTAGTGGCGCACTGTGTCCAACACACACTTTGGCATCACGTCGCGTTTGTATTGATAGTTCCCGGCGTCCCGCATTCTCTCTACCCGTATGGCCTGATACCGCTCGTCTTTCCACCCACCGGCGGCGTTGATGGCGGTCCACAGTTTCTTGTACTTTTCCCTCCGGTTAGACGAGTTGAGGGGGTGGGGTGGCATTTTCTTCAGCAGACTTCGCGCCATACCCGCTCTTCTGACGTGGGTCGTCATGACACACGGCGTCAGGAAACACGACGGACATTCTGTGGGGTTGCTGGGGATGGATGGAGGCAGACGGAGTGGAGCTGGGGGGGCGGCCGCGGGGGTTGACGGTGTTGAACTTGAAGTTGAAGCCTGCTGGTCTGGATCCTGAGCCCGGCTGTTGGAGGTTGAGGGTGGCTGAGCCTGCTGGCGACGTGAAGTCGTGGGGACGGAGCTGGTGTCGGAGGTTGATGGCTGGGAGTCGGAAGCGCTGCTTGGTGGTGGTGACTCGTCATCACTGCTGACATACCCATCTGAGTCAGGGAGATCACCCCAGGGCTGGCCGTCGAAGTCTGGTGGAAGTTCGATCTCGATCCAGTCCCATCCGTTGAAGGTGAAAAACCCCTTCAACATCTCAACCTGGTCGTTCGTTAGACGGAGACAAATGTCTCTTGTCGCGTCGTCTCCATCCATGATTTGAGCGAGAGAGAGTTGAAAATCGACAGAGAGCTTATAAAAGTGGCACGTAGGTTTGGTAGCAAAATGCGCGGGAACTTTTACGGGTCACACAGAAACGTGTCGCAAAATTTGAGGTGGAGTCCCAACTAAGTGGACAAACGGACCAAACAGAGGTCCATGCTTTATATAGATTAAATGTATTATAATATGGACTGATTAATTATCAATTTCAGCTGCTCATTCGTCTCCTTTCATTAGAAATTTTTGCGCACTAAGTTTGGATGCGATCACTTGTCTTCTGTTTGCTTTCGTAAGTTGTCGTGACCCATAACGGAAATGATTAGCGCTGGTGACCGGCTGTGTCCAAAAGTATTTCAACTGAAGAGGAATCTTGTAAAAGTACCATCCGTACAGTACTACTTATGGCTGAAAAAAAATCATAGGGTTTGATTTCTTATATCAGTTAGGCGAAGGTAGATGGGTCTGATGTTTCCAAAACCATGCTTTAGATAATTGAGAGGAAATAATCTGAAATGCGCACACACACATATGGACTCAATCAGGAAAAACGCGGGAACTCTTTGGACCTCACAGAAACGTGCCAAACAGAGACAGAACGTGTCAAACAGAAAAATAGAGAATAAAAAAAACATGCAGACGCAATATAGAATAAATACATGATTTTTTCGAGAAACGCGTGGTATGCGCAAAGGTTGTGTTTGCTACGTTTAATGTTGACATTGTCTAATAAAAGATGAGTATATGAGTTGAAACAGGAATAATGCTTCTCAAGTGATTTGTTGTGGTTTCAGTGACCCATATGAAGGTCAAGATACATACACTAGATGATAAGGAAATAAGGAGGTGAAGCTGATTTTCCTCCACTCCACCTTCGTTCGTTATTCCTGTACACACTTTTTCTTACAAGACCCTTGTGGAATATAAAAGAAAATACAAAAAAAATATAGACAGGACCTGTCAAGGATGTGACCTGACCCCTTTGATTTATTGCCTTCTTTTCTCCCGCCATTTCGCCTCGTGCATACATCGTATATTTTCGCTCGTCCTTATTTCGCTACTTTAGCTTTTATTTCCGTGTCAAAGTATGCTTCGTGCAGCTAGTACCCTGGCCAATAGGGCTGAGAAGCGTAAGAGCTGGCCGTCGGAGACGCCGGACGCCGTACGCGCCAGAAACAAGAAGAGGAGGGATGCTGTGTCGGAGGGCAGGGCAGATAAGCCCTACAACATGACCATCCTTGGCTCGGCGGAGGAGATAGCGGACTTCCGCTTCAAGCTGAAGGACGTCTGTGGCAAGATGGGCGAGGAGGGTGGAAAGAAGGTGTCCTTCCGGGAGGGCATTTTCACGGCACTGTCCTTCTGGCTGGAGGCCCGGGAGAACGCCGACGCTGCTCGCCTGCTTGCGGACTGTGGAGAACTGGGTCCAGCCGGCTCTCCCTGGAAGCAGAGGAACGGGTACTCCGCGGCCAGCCCGAACACCATGGACGAGCCCATCTTCTTCACTACCCCGACCGCCATTTCCTGCCTCGCGTCCAGAGTGCACGACCACGCCATCAAGTGCCCGGGGGCACTGGCCATGAAAGACCCCCCCATGATGCTTGGCCACGCGGCGAAAGTCGTCCTGGAGTGTGGAAGTAACCACAAAGTTATGTGGGACTCATCACCTCACTTCTTCAAGAGGTTTCTTGTAAACTACAGGTATGGTTCAAATCTTGTTGTATGATTTCTTGGTTATAGTCTTGAAAAGTCGATACAAAGTGAGAGACGGGAGCAAGCTACCTTCACGTAATCAGATAAAGCGACTGACAGTATTTGCTGTTATTATTATTTTTGCTTTACAAAATAACCTTCAGCAATGAACAAAAATAGTACAAGATCATTTGGATTTAGGTCGTTTGCAAGCCATGTCGTTTAGTATACAAAAGACAACTGCGGGGTAGTCTGTAAATCTCTTATCGTTCACGTGTTACCCAACAAGGAAATCCCACCTACAATAGAAGCCATAAACTGTCTAATGATCCATGACGGATAGCGACACATTCTGTGAACGATGTGATACAAAAGCGGCCATTAGCTAGCCTGGACGATTACAACTTATTCTGTGTAAGTTTTACCAAATTCACCAGTCAATTGATGTAGCTGGATATAAAATAGGGCTCATATCTCAGAAGAGGCTATGGGCCTGTCCGGCAGCGGTTGGTTTCGTTGAACGAAATATGATAAAATGCATATACATGAATTATACTCATTTACATTTTTGAACGATTTGATTTGTTTTTCCTCGTACGTTTGGTTTCCGCAAACTACCCGAAATATGATCCCATTACAAAGCCAGTTATCTGCTACCTCTTTTGGCGAGAGGAATGACTTCCGTTCATCTATTTGCTAACAACTTCTGTTTCAGGATGGCACACGGGTTCTTCTCCTCCGGGATTCGCCCAATCCAGTACCAGAAGATCTGTACCGCAGCGGGAATCGGGGCCATCGAGGACAGCAACCTGAGAAATCACTGTAAGCTTCATTACTAAATGTGGACCATATCAACTATAATATGAATGCATGTGTACTGCCCATTACCAAGACCTACCTGTAGATTTTTACCTGCTCAGTACAAAACTCCTGCGTTTCCGCTTGGGCTCCGCTTGGTTGGCCTCAGAACGTATACTTACCCTTCCATTTTACAGTGATTACATGGGTTGAACACAGCGCATTTGCAGATGTACAATGCAGAAATAGACTCGAATAGAAATTTAAAATACACAGTATGACTGTGATCGGCCCGTAACACACGAAACGCAAAATTGTAGACATGTTTAGAATAAGTGATCATACAATCAGTATCAGTTATCTTCGCATCAAACATTACATTATTCTTTATTGAATTCTTTCAGTTGAGCCAATGTACAGTGAGGTGGTGGCTAAGTTGGCACAGGAGTCCTGCGCACTGGCGTTACAGGAGGTAACAGAATGTATTTACTTACATGGCTATCGTTTATTCGTCATTCCCCACATGACCCTAAATGTTCATGTAAGCAATCAACCCATAAATGTAAAACAGGTTGTAACGGTACCAACCGAAAGTTCACTGTGATTCAATGTATCTACATCCAAATATTTTCAACAGGAGATCGCTCTGCAGTCTGAGACGGACGGGGACGAGTACAGGGGGATCTCCATTGTGAGTGACGCTCGCCATTGCTGGCGTAAGAACGCGCAGTTCTCGGACGTGGTGTTCTTGGGTGACAGGTATGTAAACCGGTACGCGTTGTGCCATAACCTTCATGGGAAAATATTAGTGACCATTGTTCACAGGTGTAAACCGTGATAGGTGATTTCTGATTTTCATCTCTACAAAAACTTTCTTTATACTTACAGGTCCCATAAGGCACTGCGTGTGGAGACTGTATCAAAAGAGGATATTCGGTATGCCCAGAGCCACGAGAAGGAGGGAGTTGAGCGGTTTTACCGGTGGGCAGATGGCAAAGGTGGGTTGTTCTAAAAAAAATAAATGCTGCGGCACACGTCTTTGAAGTTTTTTGTATCTATACTCTGGTGATACCTATATGTTTTTTTTATTTATTCCCTCCAGGGCTGGAAATTGTTGTCCATGCTCACGACAACAACGCCAGTGTGAACAAGATAGTGGAGGACAGGGCTGCCGCCGGACACCCTACCGTGAACGGTAATGACACCTGGCACGGTAAGGGACATTTGTAATTTTTTTTACACACTGCCAGCATTATAACAATTCGTCACTAACCCAAAGATAGATCCATATACCAGCAGTACATACTGAATTTTAGGAAGTGATACATGCGACTAATAGCCCCTGAAGGCATTCACCTCTGTGTCCAGCTGTGCCATTTTGTTGACCAACAAAAAAGTGTGACTACCTAGTTTCCTGTGCAAATAATTAGGCCACGTTTTCCTACACGGAGTGTTGGTTAGAAATCACAAGGTAACACGAAACAATGTACAGATAATCAATCAGAACGGTTATCATAATCACAGCTTTACTTACAGAATGATCACACGCCTTCTTTCAGCTACCAAGAGCATCGCCAAGAACATGAAGACCATTACGTCTGGGGCACAGAGACGGGAGGGGACCACCTGGTTTCTTGACCTGGCTGACAAAGGTAGTCTAGCTTCTCCACATTTCTGGTTGTTAGTTATTTGCTATTCCCATGTAGGTTTGGTTGTTTTCGATATGTTGAAAGAGGCCTTGATTATTCTGTCGATCCCTTTCAGCTGCTGCCGTGAAGACCCATATTTACTGGGCGATGAAGAATTGTGGCGGTGATGCGGAGAGACTCAGAGGTTTCATCGACAACATCATCAACCATTACAAGGTACGTGTACTCACTGACACAATGTACAATCCTTCTGAAAAAACTTTGTTCCCCTAATGCATAACGTGTCCATGCAATGGTGTACATTTAGACCTGATATAACTCACTCTCTCCCAAGGTGCATATATATATATATGTGTGTGTGTGTGTGTGTGTGTGTGTGTGTGTGTGTGTGTGTGTGTGTGTGTGTGCGCGCGTCTGTGTATGTATGTCTGAGTAGTTCAGTCGTAAACCTCTTGAAGTGCGTGCGTGCGTGAGTGTGTTCAGTACAGCCATGCACAACACTTTCATGTAGCGAAATGTTCCGTCATATATTTTCAGGGTGACCACTCCAGCTGCCACCACACCTCCAGGTGCCGGGTCGAGGGAGACGACTACGTGCCCTGGAGGAAGCCTATCGCAAACCCGAAGGCAGAGGAGAAGCTCAGGGAGTTCCTGAGGAAGACTGTGGTGTACAAAAAGGCAGAAAACTATGTCCATGTAAGCTATGCCCTACATTGCCCTAGATTCAAGATATCTTTATTGAGCTATCGCAGTGAAAATATCACTGAATTGCAGTCAATTTACAATTTGTTTTAAAAACGCTCACAAAGACATACTCTAATAATATTCTGGAAGGTATATTACAATGTAGCTTCTTTAGTATGATTCTGTGTAATTTACGTAGAATGGTCGGTGGTGGTTTGAATAGACGAAAGTTCATTTGCATATCAGTAAGTTCTTTGTTTCTTACTTTTGATGCCCCTTCAATGACACTTCTTTTTCATTCTTCCCTAACAGGCCAAAGACACGCACTATGTGGAGTCCTTCAACAACGCGATGCTAGTGTATCACGACAAGCGCATCACCTTTGGCAGGACAAACTACCTGTTGCGGGTGAATCTGGCCATCCTCGATTGGGTGAGTTTGACTTACTGCAAAAGTAATGATATAGAATGTGTATCACCCTGGTTAGCTTACATCCACTCCCGCAGACTAAGGCTTTGAGTGTTCTCTGTTTCTTAGGACAGTGCTTCAGAATGCAAAGCATACTGCCAAAATTTCATCACAGTCAACTCCATAACGTTACTGAGTTCAGGATTTCACTATAAAACTATAACATAAGTCTCTCTCTTATTCCCATAGAATGAGCACGTGGACAGGGCCCACACCTCAGTGTGGACGATAGAAGATGCCAGGAATCCTCGAAAACAGCAGGGGAAGAAGCAGCTGGTTGCTAAAAGCTACGGCTTCCTGGCAGAGGTGTGGGCACAGTTCATGGAAAAAGCATGGAATCACGGCTTCCAGGTGCCCGAGGAAGACGGGGCTGAGGCGGGTGCCCCCGCTGAAGACGCGCCTGTGGAGGACGGGGCTGTCGGCGGTGAGCCAGTGGATGGCCCTGGCGCTGAAGACGCGCCTGGGGAGGACGGGGCCGTCAGAGGTGAGCCAGTGGAGGATGCCCCCGGCAATGACGCGCCTCTGGAGCAGCCACGTGGACGCCCAGGACGTGGACGTCGCGGGCAGGGGCGTCGAGGTCGTGGTCGTGCACGTGGCCGTTTGAATCTTCCGGTGGACGTGCACGCGCCTGTGGAGGACGGAGCCGTCGGCGGTGAGGCAGTGGAGGATGCCCCCGGAAATGACGCGACCCTGGAGGAGCCACGTGGACGCCCAGGACGTGGACGTCGCGGGCAGGGGCATCGAGGTCGTGGTCGTGCACGTGGCCGTTTGGTTATCTCGTAATGGGCGGGATAACAAATTCAGTTGTCTTGTTCTGCCCCATCTTCTGGCATGTGAATTTGTGTTTGTTCAATTTTTGGTTTATGCATTGGTGCCTTGTGATATATGTAACTCTATGTATTTTTTGTTTCAAACTCCGTTGAAAATTATCGAACATGTTCGAAGTATTTTATTGATCAGTGTTTATATTTCAGATGCTTTAGTGTAATATGTCTTCATTGCTCAATTCAGTTCCCTTCCCTGGTGTATGAGACAAGTCTGCAAACAAAAACGATGTCTTGTATGTGCACTGCAAGGGTGGTCGGACATGCAGCTGGCGAAAAAAAAATGTTATTGTTACTTATCTGTCGAGAAATGCCTTGGCATGACATAAATAAAATATTTGCAATACCTAAGAAATTGCCAACTTATCTCACCGCTAAAAAAAACTTACCTGCAAGTAAACATCTTTGTCCCTGAAAAACACTTTCAAGCTGAACACCGCGCTTGAAAGTATTTGAATTTTGATGGATATCGATTTGAAGCGATTACAATTCAAACATTAGGAATGAAACCCAAGCCAAATGAAAGAAAAAAAATCTAGATTATGACTTTCATGACTAGATGAACAGGACAAATCATGAATAATCAAAACTAGTTCAAAACTAGGACGTATGTAGGCCGTGTGATCGAATGACGACCAGGTCACATTCTAAAAAAATTGAATGAAAGGAAAAATGGCGTCCCACTTGTAAGTTGTACGTCCTCACATCTAGCAGTTTGGATAATTCAATCCTGCAACTTGGCGTCCTTCTTCTTCGGAGATTCTAACAGATCTAAATGAAAAATGTAGACTCGACCCACCGCGAACGTCTCATTATATGGGCTGTTGCGGGGGCAAAACTCTTGTTTCGGCGGAAATCTCCCTCCACCCGGTGAATAATATGTTTTGAGTAAATGGATTTTAGTAGTAAATGTACATGGCAATTTCCCGCCAATGTCTACTTATACTGTCTAATAATTGTCAACTTACTTCGACGACAAATCGTGAACCGAAATTGGCCTGAAGGTTATTATACTTACCTTCGAAGAAACACATTTCCCCATGCTGAACACGTACTTTCATTGCTCTTGAAACTCTTTCGTTTTGAACTTCAGACCATGAATGACCCCGATATCATTATCGAAATGTAAATCAATTGAATATAAGTATTACACCCAAAATATAACCAAAAAAATTGGGCAAATTACGCATGACCATTGTATGGATGCATGGCTGAACACTACATGGCCTTATGTTATGGTGAAAAAGAAAGGAAAAATGGCGTCCTTCTTCTTCGTGGAAGCTCCGTCCGCATTACGTGAAATAAGTCAATCTTGCCATTCTGTCGATTTCGGAGATCGAGATTCTAACAGACCTAAATAAAAGATGTAGACTAAACCCACCGCAAACGTGTCATTATCTGGGCTGTTGCGGGGGCAAAACTTTTGTTTTCGGCCGGAGAAATCTTCCTTTCACCCACCAAACCCAGCCATGGAAAAACAACAACATGACCCCGCCGTGACCCCACCGACAAAGAATGGGGAGGTTCATAATTCCACCAAACTTTTTGCTAACATCGGAAATGGTGGCTCTATAAGGGTGAATATACAAATGTATATTGTGAATAAATGGATTTTAGTAAAAAATAAAGTTGACATTTTCCTCGTGATACTATCGCAAGAAGAAGTACACGAATACGGTATCGATGCGTTTGTTTGTGGTCGTCATTCTTCTCCACAGCTGACGGCAAAATGGCGGTCGGATAAATGCGCGCATCGCGGCATCTTGCGACGGGGGCTCTGTCAGCGCCTGACGTTTCAAAGTACACTTAGGTATTCCTGGCAGTAAACTGTTTTCTTTCCTTTATTTTCGTTGGAATAAAATATGAGAACTGATAGCGACTTTCCCTCGTCGTACTTATTTTATGATAACATGTCTGTTACACCATGTAAGCCGGGCACTAAAAATTGTTTGATATTTTTCTCGTCGATTGAATATATTCCCTTTGACAATCACTAAAAATTGTTTGATATTTTTCTCGTCGGTTACATATATTCCCTTTGACAAAGGAATGGTCGAGTGTTGTTCTCCAATCTGGCAGTTGAGCTTCGATCTTTACAAACAAGGCAGGCCCCCTGCTACGTAGCGATTTGGGGCATCTGGCACATGTGGCCCTACAAAATCTTCAATTTTGATGTAACGTTATTTGTAGATAAATTTCTTTTTTTTTTCTTATTTGACTATAAGTACATGTATGGCCAGTTTTGGCCACAAAGTCGTTTCCTAGGCCCCTGTCCCCAGCACTGTTTACATCAGCCGGTCGTTTCACGCCTGATTAATTACACAGGGCTTCAGTAATCCCCTCGCAGCCGGGGACGGCCACTGGTCTGCCAGGCTAGCCGCCCTGGCAGCCTGGCCGGGCCGTTCACCCTGAATTAATTAAAAAGTCATTAACGCCGATCCCTGGGATCGGCAGCCCGGGCTTTAAGTGGATAACACTGACCCAAACTCAAACTGTAATGTAGGTAAAAGGCAACTGCATTATCAGTCATTAGTCACATTGATGATATAAGAATTTAAGGTAAAAAAAATCTAGAATGTGGTATGCCACCGTCCAGGGTAGAACTATGCCAATATCCTGAGGTACAGTATGAACGTAACATCAACTGACCATCATAATATACCTGGATAATGACAGATATACAATGTACACTGTGCAACTATCTCAACTTCAGTGATAAACAGTGTTCTTGTAGGGAGCTAAAAGGCCTAGATACAGTGATGCTAAAAATTCCCCTGTGCTGTTTACTTGTCTTGCTGGCTGGAATGGGGACTATGCAAATAATCACAATGCTTCCCCACCAGCCATCCCAGACTTCCCATCAAACCCATCAGCATCATTAGTGTAACATACAGAGGAGGTACAGGACACTGGGTAGTGGGGCAAGCAAAAACATGGAACTGGGGATAGACCCAATTAGTGCCCAATGGGGGTGTAAGGTCATGTGCCAAGGGTACAGTATCAGTAGGGCATGACTCTGGGGAAGGAAATATGAACGTGTGCATCTGAACCGTTTATTTTACTTGTGGTATGGTGCTACAGTAATCAAGATGTCAACCCTTTGGCCGTGTCTGCCAGGATTCTTCTCTTGAAATGCTTCGCTCCACATTAGGCTTTTTAACCTGAATTGACACCAATAGTACTGTAGAAATATTGATAACTGGCCCTCTGCCAAAATTTGTATCCATACAAAATACTGAATTGTAAATAGCATACATAAAAGTAAAACTATAGAACTGTGCAAAGTTGTTGTTGAACAAATCTATCATTTTTATGTCTCAGCAAATTATCCTTTACAAAATTGTAGTTGGGAGTCAACAAGTTTAGAGTCATATATAAAAAAACCAAGTATCTCCTTTAGATTCTAAAACATCATAAAAAGATAAAGTATTGCAGGAAAAGCAAGCCAGGACAGGGCAGACTAAACAAACTGATATATTAGAGGGACAGGAACCAGTACAACTCATTAAAATAACCACCATGGGGGCAAACATACGGATATAGAAGAGGTCTTGGAATTTTTTCTGTTGTTCAATGTCTGTTGCCACCTCTGGAATGACCTTTTGTAAAACTCCCAGAGCTTCAGATCTTGGCCCTGCTTTAAATGTTACCAGTTTCTAACCACAGAGCTGAATGCATGACCTTGCAAGTTGGCTGTATTTACAGTCCTTGCCCACTGCATAGCTTGGGTCACTGGGGACCATCTGGAGCTTTTGCCAGGGGATTTTTGTAATGTTCTCTCTCCCTGTGTTGTCTGTCTTGTACTTGTAGACGTTCAATACAAGCCAATTGGTACAGAAGTGGTGGCCGGAAACTGGACTAGGGATTGGCATGCCCAACTTCCCCTGCAAGACTTCCTTGATAATTTCCTGCCCAGCTAACATTCTTGAGCATACATTCATCAGCAAACTTCAAATTCATCTGCACATTTAACAGAAATTTGTACATGAATACAACTTGCTCTAAGGGGCTTTTGTACAGTACTAAATAAATGTAACTCTACCAAAACATTTTTATTACTACAAGCTAATATACGTATATAAGATTTTTGTGACAATATCGTATAGATAGTGCACACTTTAGCTTTCTTGCACAGAACAAAATCTGAAGAATTCAGACTGATCAGGACAGTTGATATCATGTTTTGGAAAACCAAGACCTTTTTCTGTAACTAAGTACAGTGAACCCAGGTCATGGTCTACTGCCTGGTCTTTCAGCACTGCTGGGGGTGGCCCCAGGCAATAGCTGTATGGTACTGGTGCATGGCATACACCGGTTTTAGCCACACAACACTGTGGACACTGACGCTGCTAGACAAGCAAGCTCCTGAAAGGCCTCGCTACATAATGCAAACATCTTACCTCACTGTACTACCTGAGCTTGTTGTCCTTTTTGGGGAGGTTTCAAAACAAGGCAAAAGAATGAGCCATGCATCAGCCATGACATACCGTTTTGAAGGGACAGGCTGGCACTACCCAAAATAAAAAAAAGCATTAGCTGTTCCTACAGCTAGTAACAAGTATCAACGCAGAAGAAACTTGATTGGTTCATGGCTTTCTGTCCTAGGCAGAGGGAGTGTCAGTAGTCATTTGTTACTCCAGAAAACTGGTGTGACAGCCACGGATGCTGGTATCATTTATCTTCTGGGTAGGTGTCCCAGCAATTGATTTCCTTCCAGCTTTTCCTTTTTTTTCAGGATTGACTGCTTACGTCTTTGCCTCCAGGGCCTGGCTATGTTATTACATCCTAAAGACACCTTCATCCCTGTCATTCACACACCCAAAGGCGAGCTACACACTCACATTTTTGTCTTATCCCTCGGTCTTATAGCGTGGTATTCATGCATTGTTTTCTCTAGATATGACTGCAGAACTCATAACGCACAGCTACAGCACTTGGGAAGGAGCTGCTATCTGTAGCATGTTGCATATTCAACGCAAGACAAACAAAACATCTAAGGGGTAGATGTCTTGCCCAGGAGCAAAGATGGCTATCTGCAAATTACTGGACCATTTCTATTTTGGGACATCATCCTGGATTTCTTTTTATCAACTCACTTCCACACAAGACATGAATTCGTGTGCAGTAATTTAAATCAACCATTTGTACCAGGTGGATTTATCGAAAGTCTATCTAATGTCAGAATTAAACCTGCTATTCCTTAGCTGCAAAATTTGTATCCTATAATGCAACAGATTTTAATCAGTTTGTCGAAGAATCTAAATGAGTCTACATATAATGTATAAGACCTAGAACTTTAATGCTTTCTGTAATCACAACTTTGGTTGCAACCATAAAAGAAGGCAGAAAATATTCTGTATTTGATATATACAGGTGAGGATTTATACAAAATGGGGTCAATGAGTTTATAACCACAAACAAATTTTAAAACCATGCAATTGTCACAGCTCTGTTCAAAATTTCACAGCTAGCTGATGTTTGTTTAAAGGTGAGAAACCTCTGCAAAAAATGACAGTAAGCAGACTATAAGATGAAGGACCTAATCTTTGAACAATTGCGGACAGACAGTAATTTAGTGTTGATAGTCTGCAAAAGTAGGTCTGTTTGGCTGATGTCTCTTTCAACTCTCTTTCTGGGACAGACAATACATTTGGCACGCAACCTCGATCGAAACTATTGTCCAAAGAATCGGGCATAATAACCGACAAGAAAATTGTACTGGAATCATATGATTGGGTGCGGTAATTATTCTAGCTTTGTTTCTAAATGTACTTCCTGTAGGTAGGGCCATAACATAAATACTCACAAGAGTGTCATGTCCCTGGGTATCTGTGAATGGTTGAGCTGGTCAGGCCCGTCCAGACCTCGCCGGGAACAATCGACCTTCCTGCCGTCCGCCTGCCTACTCCCGTTCACCGTGCGGAACGAGGTACTACACGAGCATGTGTCTGCCGGGCAGAGGGGCTCGGCTGGCCGGCCGGGCAGCCACACCACCGCCAGGAACAACACCAAGCCTCCCGCAGCAGCCATGGACGCCCCGAGACCGCGACACGACAACGCCTGCTGGAGGGAGCAACTTCTCTTGTTTATGCCATAAACTTTCCGCGTGGATTTTCCCTCGCAGCGCGCCTACCGTCCTTTTGGATACTTCTTTGACGAGCTAACTCAGGTAACCATCAATCCAGGGGAAGGTAAGGAGTTAGTACGATAACACATCCTCAGGAAAACACTTGAATGTTGGCGTCCTGCCTGCTGTAGACGACGGAGCGTGGTCTCCTGCTTGCTTGGACGTCCTGCTCACCGCGGCCCAACATGGGCCTGATCTCCCCGCGAGCTTTTCACCCGCGACGCTCCCGAACCGAGACTGCTGCCAGCCCGGGGAGCCAAATATTCAACAAGTGACGACAAGTTGTCCTCGCGAACCCGTCTCCTGCAAAAATGAGGGCTTGTTTGGCAGCTGGACGCTGGTAGAGTTGTGTAAAGTTAGAGTTCTCTGCAGGCACAGGTCCTGTCCAGGGACTCGAACTCCGGACTCTCCCGTCCTCGCGCTGAGTCGTGACGTCACGCCAAAAATACCCTACCACGACTCTGATTGGCTAAAACTACGGATCGTACCATTCAAGCAAGCAGAGGGGGGAAACGGCCAATTTAATCTTCTTGGCATATATGTTGACAGCAATATTTGACTGCAAAGTTATGCGAAACCATGATGTTCTGAAGTGTGTTAAAGTATTTCCAACTTTGTGGGGTAGTGAGGAGTTTTTTTTCAGTCGCTGATCTATATTCCGCGTCATTATGCCATTGTTTTCCGAAGCTTGATCGTCAGGATTCAATAGACCAAGGACATCGTATAGACTCACATTGCACTTACACACAGTCACTAGACTTTAGTGGTAATTTCTCGATAACAGTGTCCTTGTAGATGAAAATCATCCACACCGTTCTCACGATGTCATTTATCTGTCAGCATTCACACAGACCACTGAGATTGTGGGAAACACACCGGGTAGGTGCGTTTCCGGCAGATTCTAAAAGAATCTTCAAGTAACAAGTATAATGACAAAAACAAAATACGAAGTAATGTTCGCTTTCCGAAGGTGCATTTTTTTGTCTTGGTGCACAGTTGTGCATAGTTTGTATATTTAGTACACGCTATTAAAGTTAGCATCATACCGAGCTCAATATGACAGGTAAGCAGCCATTGACAAATCTGTGGAAGATCAGCCAGTACGTCGTGTCGCTACTCTGGTGTCCGCCAGGAGGCGATTTTGAATGGTCCTAGGGAGTCAACTGATGTGAAGTGCGTCTTATGCCCAGAGGTAGTCGAAATTAGCACTGCATATCTATTCTTTCCTTTCTCCGTTCATTCTTTGGTTTCTCTTCATTCTTTCTCTCCTCCTTTCTCTCTTTTCACAGACTGGGAGGTCTGTGTGGGTAGTGAATGTACGGATTCACAAGGACGCGTAGCGGTTGTCGATAGAACTACACCCGGAAGAGTTATCCAAGATGGCGGCGAAAGACTGACGTTAGGCGCCAAGCTCCCGCATTTTTTGAACATTTTCCACGTTTAGCTGCAACTACGCCGTGTACTCCACGCTATCTGGCAGTTTATGAACACCTCCCCCCACCCCTACAGACGGCGCGATCGCAGCTTGTAAATGAAAGAAACGCTGAACTTGCTAAAGACAACAACAATAAGGTATCTATCCTTGTACCTGCCAAGGATACCTACGCTGTATTGCTTGTCAACGGAAAAGAAAAGAGAAGAATTGATGCAGTTGACATTGTGCTGTCAAAAAGAGATGTGTGATTGGTCTCTGATAGATTTTCTTTGACTTTGAGTCTGTTATGAATATGATATTCCAACTTTAAACGGTTATCAAACTGCACCAGGATATTATGAGAATACTAAGTATGATTACTTTTTTGAAATGTTTCATTTTGTATTCTCTGGCAGTGTTATTGACGACAAACTTTTTGTATATATTTCTGATACTCTGTAATGAATGGAGAATGTGCACCACCTGTGGCTTTAAATTTGCATTAAAGTGGCTGACTTTACAACTAGGTCTGAAGAATTTTTTTTTTTTTTGACAGCTGCTAATTAAGAGTACCTAAAGTGCATGCCAGGCGAAAAGAAATCACTTCCTCGTAAGTTCGGCATACGTAAATATGTTATAACGATTTTGCATTATGTTGTGTTATTTTCAGTTTGTATTGGACCAATTTTAAGTTAATTTACTGTTACTTTACTTTGATTCATTTACGATAGACTACTAATCATGTTATAAGTTCTAGCTTGGACCCAAGCTTTGATTTATTTTTGTTATGTTATGTTAGTATCAGTTTCTATAGCTAGATTTGACGAATTCTTATGATGATGTGGAAGTAAGTTGTGATTATGATATGATTTTCTGAATTTTGAACTGGTCCAATCCTTATAATTTACTTTTGTTATAACATTTTGTTTTGGTGTGGATTTAACTGATGGTAATGAATGGAGCGGATGAATGTATGACCACAAATCTATACCAACTTACCTTGGTGGCTTTGTTAATATTTAGTTGACTTTACTTTGGCTTTATAAGCAAGAAATTGTTCTGTTATCTATCTTTTGTTTTCATTCATGGCTCGAAGTATCTCGTCATTTCATGTTCTAAGCTTGATGTTTATCTTTATGTGTATGGCATGATGTTTTTCGGTATCGTTAAGTTCTAAG